ATTTGTTTTTCAATCTCCAAAACAACCTGTCGGCTGTGGCTTCCTGAAGGAGAAGAAAAGTTATAAATCATTCCTTTGGGGGTGGAGGTCACTTGTTTTATACAGGACTTATACATGAAAACTTATTTGAGTCTTATTGCGTGGAGCTACTTTATGCCCAAAGCTTTACATGTAGCATCTCCGTGATGACCTCCACAAAACTGATATTAATTTTTAAACATGCCTCAAATGGGTCAATTTTTGGCCATCCAGGGAGTAGGGGGGGTTACTTGATTTATATAGAATTATATAAAAAAACATTGGAGTCTTAATGTGTGAAACTCAGCTCTGCCCCAGGAATCACTTGCTTTGTGTAGACTAATGTTTAGTATCACAAGGATAATTCAGACAAAACATTTTTCAGACAAGTTTTTGATCAGGTCTCTTTCTTGCTTGAAATATTTTTTTTTTTTTTGATTACTCAAACATATTTACATTAGGGCATATATTGCACAGTTGGCTGATATTATGTACTGTAACACACCAAACTTATCCTTGATCCATTTCAAGTCTTTAAATAATATCTAAGACTACACACAACTGAAGTGCCTGTATTCGATTTTTTTCACAAATTTATAATCCTGGACTAAGAAAGCATATCAATATTTTCTTTTTTACTTTGCCTTTAACCTCCATATCTTGTAAATAGAAAACTTTCTATTATCAACATATTGCAACAGTCCGAGGGTATAAAAACAGTTCAGTAAAAACCCACAATTTCAAATTTGTAGCTGAGCAGGAAAGGAAAGTGACGTCAATAAAAGCATTTCATTCTATCACTTATCATATGTTTAAATGTTTTCTTTGGCGATTATCTTTCAAACTCCTAAATATAAGCCACCTTTAACCTAATGCTAAATTTATACACTGTACAGGACTGCTTGAATTTGAAACTAGAAATAGTAAGTTTAAGATTTCAATACCAATGTGTTAAGATAAAGCAGTGATTGTTTATATTTCTTATTTTCTTGGTAACTTAACGCCAATTCAAACACGTTTTTTGGTCATATCTCTGCAGTCATAATCTATCATACAGGCAGTTTCCTGGATAATTTAAACCAGAAATTACTGATTTCTCTGCAAGTGACAAATTATTTATCACACAAGATTTCTGAATCAGCAGTGAAAGAAAAGTGACCATTAGAATTAATGTCCTAGATCAACTGTCACAGAGAAATTATGCTCTATAAGAGGATCAAACCAATGGCCCCTTGATTACTAATCCCATGCTTTCCCAATTGAGCTTAGAAGATGGACATAAAAGCATATCAACCCTTAACCTGCTGGATTTCTTGAATGGACATGTCAGGCTGTTATGATTCCTGGAACTGTCCATTATCAATTTAGGGGATATGATGAAAATTTTAAGTTGCATGGTCAGCCAACAGTATAGAGTTAGGTCAGACTTAACACAGATGTGCTGGCTGGCCTACATGTAGCTGTATACTCAGGTGGCAGATGGACTATAATTCACTTCCATTTCATGAAAAGTAAAATGGCTTAATTATGTTTCGTTTAGTATCAAAGCTGTTTAAATAGATTCCTAAAATGTACTTTATAGCCACAGTTAATTACAAAAATAAATATACCGATTGATATTCATGAGAGTTGTGAAAATATACACCAAAAGCTTTTATCCTGAAGAGATTATTACCAAACTACACCTGGGCAAAATTTTTGCACCTATAAAAATCTTTTAAAATCTTTGAAAAAAACACTCTTTACATGATACTTAAGTCCTGTACTGAAAGGCTTTTACATATCTACATTATAGAAAAGAAGTAAATTATCCAAAAGCAATGGTTAAGATTATAAACTTAATACAAGATGTACTTACATGAATGAATAAAGGAATGGAGACAGGAGAGGGGTGGGGGCTGGGTACAAGAGGGGATAGAGAGGTTGTACAATGTAATTTTAAAATGTCTGCATCTTAGTCCAGGTAAGGCTAGTCATGATACTACGATTAGGGGGAAATAGTCGTGTTTAATACACTTGTTACTATATATAGAAACAAAATTGCCCATGACTTCAACTGATTATAAGTGTCACGTGACACCATTTAAGTATTTAACTTTGAATATAGCATAACATCAAACGTACCAAAATTTTATTTTTTTTAAGAAATTCAACAGTTACCTGGAATTAAGGTAAAATTGGTATAGAAAGGGGATTTTCATATTGGATTAACCATTATATTGTCCAACAACATTGACCTGGCACTCTTGCATTTGACCCTGTAGTCGGTATATTTCGTACATGTTACGATCTACTTGTAAATCGATATAAATATAAATATCAAATTGTTACAATATTGTAAAAAAAAAATCCTCTTAGCGCAGTTGGTAAAGGTATTTCACTTGAGGAATGTATACGTTAACTGGTAGGTTCGAATCCTATTTCAGCGAATTATTTTTTATTTTAATTTTAAAATTGCCATTCTCTTAAAACTATTGCAAACGTTTTTGTTGTGTGTAATATCTGTGTTGTATCTTTATATAGCGTGTATGCGCTAAAGTATATACGATTGCATAATGTAAAAAAGAGAAACATTGAAAGATACTATTAATAAAATAAAAATATATGACTGCGTAAAAAAACACCACTTAAAATGTATTCTAAAACCAGTTGTAGTAAACCGATTTCAAATTAATTCTTGCAAATAATTAAAAAATAATTCATAACATGGTGTTGGTAAGGAATCGAACCAGTGACCTTCAGATCATTAGTCCGACATCTATACCAATACACCACACTTCCCTGACGAGTGAAGTTAGCAAATATATGATATATTCGATAGATACTGGTCAGTGTTTATTCAAATGACCTTTACGAAAGTTAATGAGGTCCCAGGTCAATTTGTTGGACAATACAATGAGTCATCAATTGGGACTGCCATCCAAACAATAATAGTTGATATTTAATCTATTTAATTGGGTACTTGATTGTTTATTGTGATCAGTTGCTATTTTATTCAGGAATAAAAACGGTATTCTCTTCCTACATGCCAATTATTTTTTCTGTTACAGCTATAAATAAAGCATATAAACTACAATATTTATATAATATTAATGATTATCATACTGATAAATCAATATAATTGGCAAGACAATTCATAAATAAGTCTTCTAGTATTTATTATAATTATGCTAAATTAATGCAATATATGTAATTAATGGTTGAAATATTCGGTTTTAAAACACAAGAACCATTGAAATGACCATTAACTGTTCAGGTCCCATCAAATGACACTTTTTGAACATTTTTCTACACAGATTTTTAAAACTAGGTACATGAAATTTGACACAGTACAGCTAGGTTCTTTTTTAAACTAAAGAGCTTTATAGTTTTTTTTCAATTTTCAATAATGCTAATAGTTTACTGTAGTGTAATGAGGTGGGGCTGTCCTCACTACAGTATCAATTCCAGGATAAGTTTCCGGTTCCGGTAGTGGCAGACGTTTTGACTTTAACTTCTTAAAAACAAAGAAAATCAGAATATAATTCATGCAAGTCACATATACTGTCATACCGTATTTTATGCACTGTAAATCTATAAGGAAAAGGCCTTTATAAGCTCAGCTTTCGGACCCAATCCTTTTTCAACATATCATGTTTGTATTGTGTACATTATTGTCTGTTAATATATATTGTGAATTTTTCGAAAAAAACTATGTTTAAACTAAATTACAGTATCAACTGTGTCCGGACAGATATACATGTATGACTTAAATTTAATCTAATCCAGATAATGGCTGAGGTGTTGTAATTTTTTATAAACTTTATTCATTTGTATACAATATATTCCAGAAGCAAAATTAAAGCTAAATTTTTGATTGCTCTATTTTTTACTTTCAAAGTTAATGATTATAGATGGTCAAATAGATCCAAGTATTGTACTCTTTACATTGTGTACATCACAAATTTTCAATGTTTATGTTCTTTCATTTATCATAGACATTAAACTATTACTCACTATCATATAAGTTTTAAGTTAATACTCTGCAAAAGTTAATACTCTGCAAATAACTTAACTTAATAAATATAGAAGAAACATGCATTTTATTGTTTATTAAAACTGCCTGAATGATCAACAATCATTCAGTGTTAAAAGATAACAACTGAATCAAGTGTTTTAGGGGCTCCTTCAGGTTTGATGATCATCCAGATTTGGTGGTGCCAAACCAATAAAAAATTACGATACCACACTAAAAATCCAAAAGGAAATCCTTCGTATCATGTTAAAAACTATTTTGTTTTTATTTAATTATACAATGTATTATGGTTGGAGGCGTGAAGCATTTTTGTAAATTAAAGTTTGCTAAATATTATTGACTTGAGTAAGAATCGGATTTGACAATTAGTTTTTGCCACCAGTTAAGAGCCACTCTGTTAACATCCAATTGTTAGTCTTACCTATATATACTGTTTATTGGACTTAGCTCAATATTGTATTTGATAACCTGTGATTTAAATATTGAAAACCCTTATGTTGAAAATTTAAAACAGGGATAATCCATGACACAAATTCACCAGGTTTAATCATTGAAATTCTGAATAAAGTAAGATAAGCACTACAGTAGTGTGAAATAATATTTTAATTCAATTAACCCAATCAGTTTAACAGTTAAAAGACAATTAATTAATGTTACTTTTTTAAATTACTGAATAAAACTTGTATCATTCACAAAAGTCATAAAAAGAGCAAGCAATTGTCTCTTCCCAGTGCCATACATTCAAGTGTCAAAAAATATATATCTATAATTATATCAAGCTTTGGTTTTCACCTGAGCTGTCACCTGTGAAAAACAAAACACATTTTCTTGACAACTTTCACTTCTCAAACATACCTTTACCATGGCAACATAACATCCGATTTAAAATCTCTCCAATCACGTTTTATTACATCAAGACACTTTAACTATCAATAACAATCTTCCCGATTCAAAAATAAAATATTACCTGTAATTTGGCAACAAAACATAAAACATGGCGGATTGTGTCGTACGAGTGCGTTTGTGTCACGTGTTTAATCATGTGACCCATGAAGTAAAAAAGTAAACAATACTTTTTCCCGCCAAAATGTCAAATTTTCGCATATTGATACAAAGTCATTAAAATTTATACAAACGAACGAACAATTTTTTTTTCACACAAATTTTACATTTCTAGTGACTAGCCTCTACAATTTACAATTGAATATATTGGTGTAAATAGAACAAATATCAGAATATAATTTTATTATATACTTATAAATGAAATATTGAGAAATATTGATGAAATAAAATGCGTATTTTCATTTTCCGTATTTTCACTGTAAAAATTTATTTTTCACTGCAGTGAAACATATTTTCCGTATTTTCACTAGTGTCTTGCCGGACTACTTTCTTTTAAATTCAACCAGTACACAAAATTTAAGGGAAAGTTTTTCAAATTTTATCGCAAAAAAGAGAAAAATGTACATAATAAACAGAAAATTCAAGTTTTTTCTATAAATACAGGATTTATTTTCATCTTGTGGCATGAAAATTACCATATTTCACTCGTGGCTACCGCCACTCATGAAATATTTATTTTCATACCACTCGATGAAAATAAATCATGTATTTATAGAAAATTCTTGAATATCCTCTATATATTTAACAGATAATTTACGTATGTACACAATATGTTGTTTAATAAACAATGATTAACAAGAATCTTTTGTTCATACGATGAAAGTAAAAATCAAGTCTAAATGACGTTTACGCTGCTATATGGCGTTGTAGGTATATACGTATGTGCCTCTTTAGAAGTATTTCACTATTGCGACCTTTATACCGAGTAACGGCGTATGTTTTACTCATGCTTGAAGGGAACGGCATGTACCTGGTAGTGAGTTTTGTGTGAGATGTCAGCGCGTGAACTATGGAAGCCATTGCATTTAACATCTGCATTCTGTATATTTCTTCATCGCCAAAAAGACGTGTTCCTAGAGTGAAATGGGTATAAAGCATGCGTAAAGTTGGTGCCGTTTGTCTTATCATTATGTCACAGAAATGCTTAAAAAATTATGTTTGTGTCTCAATAGCTTATAAAGTTTGGATTTTTTTATAGTTTCCAAAACTTGGCCATTTACCTAACATCTTTTTCTTCTGATCCTTTTGGCAATCAGAGCAGTTCCATCAGAGCAATAAGATTATTTCATAAACACTCGAAATGAATTCGATCCACTTATAGTAATTATTCTCAAACAGGGAAGAAAAATTGCATAAAGAAAATTATGCTCAACATTTTATATCTTTTGAGATTTATAGAATGGGTTAAAACTATTCCAATCGTAATTCAAACAAAATTTGAATATTAACCAATGAATTACAAAATCCATTTCACATCTTTGTATTTACATATTTGACATATTGCTGAATGATATTTTTCATTCCCTTCAGTTCGATATTTATAAGAGAAACAGATAAACAAAAAATAAGTAAAGAATAAACGAGGTAATGATTATTATTACAATACAGGGCATATAGCTATATATTAATAAACCGTGTACATACGCAGAATGATGTCTATATTTTAATTACCGTACTAGTTTTGTGCTTTACACGAGATATTTAACTTTTATAGGTATTTAATTGAAAAAGAAGCATGCCTTTGATGAAGTTCTGTATACGTATGAGTAGGAATCTTCCTATATATCTGGTATGATATATTTATCTGGTGTGAACACGGATTTAATAACATATAGGGAAAACAGCATTTTTAATCATGACTCCAGATCGGTAGACATAACCTATTCAGATCATGTTGCTAGAGCAAATATTTCAACCAGCACTCATTGCAAGGTTTCTGTTCATGCAATGTCTGCGAAACCACATAAACTACGACCACGGCAACCACGGAACCAACAATCATACAGATATCATAGTAATGGACTTTTCCTGTGAATTTGACATTGTTGATTATCGAGGCTGATATGCAAGTTATAGGCCCTAGTTGCTTACATCCCACCCCTGTACAAAATCCTTCCTTCCAACAGATCTAAAAATGGAGAGCTCTGTAGAAGGTCACTTGTCTAGTGTATACGTATTCTCAGTCTTTTTTGGAGTTTCACAAGGGCCCATTATTGCCTTTTCCTAGTCTATATTAATGACCTACTGGAGTCTTGAATATTAGATCAGAATGTTTGCTGGTGCCACTGTTATATCTAAAAAAAGACTTGCAAGAATTTGAAAAATGGGAAATAGCTTGGCCAATTCAATTTAATCCAGATAAATGCGGATCACTGGAAAGAGGGGTTCCCTAATATACCCTTATATTCTCCACTAAACTGAATTGAAATCAGCCGCAGAATCAAAACACTTAGATGTTACAGTCTGTTCCGATCTTAATGGTCAAAACACATAAACAACAATATCACATCAAAAACAACATATATTCTCTCCATTTCATTCAAAGAAATGTTTAAACTGACGATTACAATTTACAGGTCAAAACTGCAGTCTACAACACATTTGTCCGCTTTCACACGAAATTGTTTTCTTTTAATACAGCAGACTGGTCTTTTCATAACATTACTGTAGAGCATAATACAATGTACAACTGTCTTATTCATGACATTAGACATTGGTGTTGTTTTATAAAAATTAAATCAATATCTAAATGAACGAAAGTATCGCTGATTTGTCTAAAAGAATAATTTTGAATAATTGTCTATCAAAACAACTCAATTAGCAATACATTAAATAGTACACTACTAGCATGATTCCAATTTGCTTTTTACACCTTTCGTGTATTTTGAAGTCTTAGTGTTAAATTTTGCTCTTTGAGGCATTTTCATTTCCGGGAAATTCGAAAACACTGAAAATAAAAACAAAATTAATTTAAACAAGGTAAACTATCTTTACTTGGCTTATAGGCCAATGCTTTTTTCAGTTCATTGACAATTGTTTTTTAAACTAACGCTTTCTTATAATTAATGTTGTATTCCAAAGAAACAAATCAGTTTCACGTGTTTTCGTGACCTGTCATAATTTTGCCTTTACATATAAAATTTATTATAATCATTAATGCCTCTCGATCTGATTTGATTAATGTAACAAGTTGATTTTTTATCGACTCGAATTTCAACGCATGTTTATGGTATGTAAAAGGCAAAGCCTCAAAGCGAGCTCGATGTACTTTTAACGTGAAATAGTATGAAATGTGGTGGTCACTGACCTAACCGAAATATAGTGGTGTTTGACCTTGGTGAGATGGGACGTCCCAGTATTCCCTCAGTCCACATCCTGGTTTCCTGTTGAATGGACAAGCAATAAACTGCTCAGATTAATCTATCTGATTACATCCGTGTGTCAAAGTATCCAAAGAACTTGAACATCTATGTAAGTTTGTTATACCATTATAGATTTACTATAATGGTGGCAGCGGTGATTCAATTCTAGCTGCAGCCTGTATTTTTAAGACGCTACCAGTCTTCGGACCCACTTAGGTTTTTGTACCATTGTGGTTTCTAATTAGGATATTTGATACCGGTATCATATTTTTTTTCTTCTATTGTTGTTCCAAAACCTAGCAATTTTTTAAAGAAAATTGCAGAGGAATTTTTAAGAGTGATATTTTCATAATATTGCTTATTTTCAGGCAGAAAGAGGTGTGATATTTTTTATATTGCATAATTCAATGAGCGATATTTTTTTTTATATTGCTTATTATAGTTACTGTAAGGCACAATATTGTAGTATTGTGCAGGTGTGTGGAATAAAATAAATTTTATTTCGGAAATTGGTTTACAGTAACGGTAAGTGGTACTTTGCATGACCTTTAATTGCCTGATATTTTTAATTATTTGTAATAAAAATATTGTAATAAGTAATTATTAATATGGCAATGGCGATGGATAGGTCAGACACAAAAGGCCCCCACACCAATAAATCTAAGGTTGCGATTAATTTTGCTTCTGAGGACGAGTTGGTTAAAATTCCGGGGGTTAGTAAGAAGGTTGCTGCTATTCTCCTATCTATAAGGGGGGCTGGCGGTGATATCACAGGCGACATATTGTCTGCAATATGTTGTAAAAAGTTAACGGGTGAGGAATTAGATATGATAGATTTTTCACCAAATGAGGTTTTGGAAGAATTCCCTAGGAAACAGGAGGCTTTAGAGCATCATACTGAAGCTTTTAAAGGGGAAGGGTCCTTGGATAAGTCATTTAGGTCCTTGGATCAGTCATTTTTAGACTTTTCGGAACCAAAGCCTGGGGCAGTAAAGCCTGATGTGGCCAGAGGGTCAGCTGGGGTGAAAAGCACTTCAGTATTTGGGCGTAGAGAAGGTAGACCTGTGATGGGTGGGGATAGCATGGGGTATAATGGGCATATGTTTACCACACCTAGGGTTCCCCAGGCTATTCCTGCTGATTTTGGGTCTGAGCGGTCTCTATGGAAAGAACAGGGGACCACCTCATTGGGGGATAATGAGTTTGAGCCATTATCTCATGGGGGATGGGAACCAGTTTATCCTGTAACAGCCAGGTCAAGACTATCGTTAGATAAAATGCCCACGAATTTAACATTTGATGGCAATGGCAGTTGGGAAGCTTTCATTTTTAAGTTTTCCAGATATGCTGAGATGTGCCAGTGGTCAAATGAGGATAAACTGTGTGCGTTGTGCTTGACGTTAGAGGGCAAAGCTTTAGATTATTATGTAATTTTACATAATAGTGGTGAAGTGCAATCGTATGCTTCTTTATACGATAAACTGGAGGCTCGGTTTGGTGACCAAATCTCACCAGAGGCAGCTCAAGGGCAATTTTATCAAGCTTTTCAAAACCCGGGCGAATCTCTTGATGATTTTGCAGACAGGTTACGTGCCTTAGCCGATAAAGCCTTTCAGGGGGTATGTGCCCAATTTATAACAAGTCAGGTTATAAGTAGGTTTTGCCATGGTTTATTAGACCAACAAGCTGGGTTCCATGTTTACATGCATGATCCATCCACGGTCGAACAAGCCAAATTATTGGTCCGTAAGTACCAACAGAGCCATGAGGCCATTTTTGGTAGGAGCCAACGCAGTGAAAGGTGTGAAGGAAAGAGGGTTTCTTCAGTCAGTACTGATAGTTATGAAGTTCATTCTGATGAAGATAACTCTTCTGTGACTTGGGAAACTGTGATAGAGGCTATTGAGGAACTTGAAGATAAGTTTGAGAAGGCTTTCACAGTTGATTAGGCTAAGGTCAAAGAGTAGCCCTAAAAGTTTATAAAATGCTTTTAGGTGTTTTAAGACTACAAGGTTGGGTCGATATCATGTTTATTCTAATATGTGGTTCTTCTAATCCCAAAGGGGGGAAGGGAATTGGATAGAATAAAATGTAGGATATCGATCTGGGGAAAATCAGGTTGTAAACATGGTGTTTGGATCCAGGGTGCCATGTAGGAAATCAACTTGAGGGAAATTCCTTGTAGTTGGAATAAGTCTTGGGGAATAAAAGCCTGCCTCTTACCAGTTAGTACTGGTGGGGGTGAGGGTAGCTGCAGATAGGAACCGCCATTGGGGTAATTAAATTTATCTGGTGGTTAATCAGAGAAGAACTACCATGGGGTAATTTAATTTATCTGGTAGTTTAGTTGATTGCATACCATAGACTGATCACTCATATAAGGTGGTTTATTGGTTTTGGGAGCCACAAGGTAATTTGGCGGGATGGTTGAAGGATCTATCCCGGTGTAAGTTGCTGCAGCACAGATCAAATCGTAATCATGGTAAAATGATGTAATGTCTAGTACCATGTGGGAAATCGATTTGGGACCCAGAACAAATCGTAATCATGGTAAAATGATGTAATGTCTGGTACCATGTGGGAAATCGATTTGGGGTAAATTGCCTTGCGGTAGGTGTCAATTAGTATATGATGGCCCATGAATTGGGGGATCCTTTATTGACGATGTAGATGTGGTGCTATTGGCAAGTAAAAGATCACTTGGGTCACTAAGGGTCTTGGGAAGCCTGCCAGGGAAGGAACTAAAATCTACGGGTTTCAGGTTAAAATCGCATCTGTCATTGAGTGTGTTACAATCAGTCTTGGTAATTAGGAACCTTGGGAACGAATCCAAGGAGTGTAAGCTCATTATCTAGGAATCATCTTAGTAATAATGAGTTGCGTGCTTATTGGTGATAATGTTTCAAAAGGCCCTAGAGTCCATTCTGGTGTTATTTTCAGAAATCTGAGTCCCAGAACCGAGATGTTTGGTAACAATATAGTCACCATTAAGAGACAGTTAGCTCCCATATAGACAAGCAAGTTGCATCTGGTCAGTTAAGTTCACTGCTATGTAGGGGGTCACCAAGCACGCAGTTCCCGTCTCTTCTAAGCTAGATGACCTATAATGTCATTTGGTAGCGTGCTTGTTTAGGCCGACAAGCAATTTATATGACAGTTTGTATGGGATCTATTTGGATGCAGGCATCTGTTAATAGTGATCATTACAAATGTTAGTACAATATTGGATTGCGTGTTGGGGGTTTCTTATGGCAGAAATAGAATGAGCATCTTGCAGAACTGAAGTAGTAATTGTCATGATGTTATCTGTTAGGTTGAGCTCTTGAAATAATGTCAGAGTTATAACAGTTATCAAAGGAAATGTGTTGTCTTTTTGGGAGGTAAGAATATAAGACTGGAGATTTATGATTCATTGTGGTTATTTAATGTGGTTTCACAGCTTGTGGGTGAAGGTTACTTCTTGTTGGTTATTGAATATAAATCTGAGTTTGGATTGTTTATTGTCCAGATAAGGTCTTATATTGAGGATTGGGGTATAATCCTCAGGATGCTCATGCTGTTAAGCTGGTAGATGTGATAGGTGTTGCGGTAGTCTCTAGATATAAGCTGCATATCCTTGCATCTGAGTGTGAACCAGTGCATGAGTGGGTTAGAGTGTTTTGACAGTAGTAAGAGATAAGTCTTCAGTGAATCAATTAGACCTGAAGGAGGTTTTATGTTTGTTTGTGATTGTTAGAGACTAATGTTGGTTAATTCTTCTCAGGGTGCTACTGGTGACAATTCATTCTTATAAATTCCAGTGGGCTGCTCAGGTTAATGAGTGAGTCGTAGAATTCTGCATCGTGGGCTGCTTAGGTGATTGAGTGAGTCGTAGAATTCTGCATAGTCGGCTGCTCAGGTAATTGAGTAAGTCCTAGTGGGGCTGCTCAGCTGATCAAGTCATAGCTGAGCTGCTCAGGTGATTGGTTTATGATAATCACCTATTTGGTACTTGTACTAGAGCAGGGTACAGTACCAGTACTGGTAAGGATCCAGGAAATCATTCAATAGGCTCGTATTGAGTGCTGGATTAGATACTAGAAAGGTCTTATCTGGCAGCCAGCCTTTTCAAATAGGACGGGGAGGAGTGTGGTGGTCACTGACCTAACCGAAATATAGTGGTGTTTGACCTTGGTGAGATGGGACGTCCCAGTATTCCCTCAGTCCACATCCTGGTTTCCTGTTGAATGGACAGGCAATAAACTGCTCAGATTAATCTATCTGATTACATCCGTGTGTCAAAGTATCCAAAGAACTTGAACATCTATGTAAGTTTGTTATACCATTATAGATTTACTATAGAAATAATCTCAAATGCAGTGACGAGTGCGTGTGACGTTATGTACTTTGTTAAATATGGCTCCCCCCCCCCTGTCGTTAAATGAAAAACGAGTTTTGAAAACGTTGATAAAACTTTGTTTATTTTATTTCACTCTATAATTTTTCAAGCGAAATAAAGATTATTATAAGTGAAATAAATGTAAAACTTAAAATGTTTGCGACATTAAAATAGCGTACTTGATTTGTTTGTTTTGCACGTGCTGTTTGGCGCTACATTGTGACATCACGTAAACAATA